CCCCTAGTTTAGGTTGTGTCAGATCTCTTAGATTTGCAAAATGACTTTGAAGGGCAAATTGGCAATACATTGAATCAAGATGTTTCAGTACACTTTGTAAGAAAAACAGTAAGAGACCAATAGCAGAAAGAGTATAGGGTTTCCTGCTTGAGCAGGGGGTTCGACTAGATGATCTCCAAGGTCTCTTCCAACTCTGTTATTTTGTTATTCTGTTATTTCAACACAAACTGAAAATTGCTAATGTAAAAATAAGCATTTTAACAAAGATCCCTACCAGAATTTTACATAAAAGAAAAGACTATTCATTTTTGACTGAAACACTGAAAACAAAAAAAGAGAGACGAGATCACTTTTATTTTTCAGCAAAGAAGATTTCAATTGAATGTTTAAAGGACCAGTGAAAATAGAACTACAAGATGCTCAAAAGGAAAATACAGAGAAAATTGATAAACAAATTGACCAAAAAACCCCCCATAGATAATGAAAAAGACAATTTGGAATTGGGTGCTACAAGCACAGATTTTTCAAAAACTATTTACTTAAACTTGGAATGTAAATATCTAATGTGCAAATTCCATAAACAAAAGGGGAAAAAAGGATTTCATTATCTGAAAAACAGTTAAAACAAGATATAATTTCCTTACAAGAAGCATGCATTAGAAATAAAGACATGAAATATTTGATTTGTAAAAACTTGGGAGATGAATTCATTTTGGCAGGATAAAACAAACAACAAACAATGGACTTGTTCTATATGTTAATCCCTAATTAAAACCACAAATACAAATAGCTGATCAGGTTGGAAGATTTATAGAAAGGAAAACAACTACAAGGATTTAAAACTTTGTTTTAACAGAAGCTTTTAACAGAATATTCTGTTAAAACTTTTGTTTTGGGACTTTATGCCCCAAATAAAATTAAAGATATTTTTTAATAAACAACTTATGGAACAAAACCTTTCGTATTAGAATTGCTGCCTGATGGGTGACAGGAACGGTGTTGTCCCTCTGTAATTAAATAGAACATCTGAGAAGAAAATAATCCCACTCAGGGAAAATTATCAAAGACTTTTTTTAATGAATATTTCAACTCTAGTAGATCTATGGACACAAAAATATTAATTCTGTAGATTATACTTATTTTTCAAAAAGATATCAATTGTTCTCACAAATAGATACGATATAGATTTTGAAAAACATGATTAATAGAACTGTGGGGATACTAGACTTTTTCTGATCATAACCTAGAGAACTAGGTTTTTTAAAATTATTACCCAACTTTCAGATGGAGATTAATTGAAATATTTTTACAGAAAGACTGGAAAGTTAAGGACTGTGAAAAGAAATTAACAGATTTTTTTTTAGATTTAATCTAAGTGAGCAGAAGGATATGGGGCCTGATGGGGTGAGAAGCAGTTCCCAGGCCTGCAAGGACCAAGTGGGGGGGGAGAAGATAGGTGGGGGGGTCACTGAGGTCAGTCATAAGGGTGAACAACTGTGGGGGCATTGCAGTAGTCATAACTTTGGAACCAGGTCATAACTAGCACTTGGACAGGCCTATAGGAGATGACCAGGCTCAGCCTGAGGGCAGGGTCAAACACATCATCAGTCTGGAGACCCTACACCTCCAAAAGAAATCTAAATCAAACCCCCCCCCCCGAAGTCTGTAGACTCTTACCTGGTGCCAATTCGCATTGATTGTTAGTAGTTCGGATTCCTGACTATAGGTTGTATGGAATAAACTTTCAATACTTTTGAACTCTCAACTTCCGGTGGATTTTGCGTGCGTGATGGCGGCTACTTTGTAGCCGTCCTCCTGGGTAAGTGTAAGAACCGCTATGAACAGCAGACACCAGCTGTTCAGCGGTTCAAAATCCCCCTCCCGGGCAAAGGGGGGGGGGGTAGAGAGTGTCTGAATAGTGGTAGAGCCTCTTTCGCACCCCCCAAGTTTTTTTTTTGGGGGGGGTGAAAGGAGTGCTCCCACGGAGTTCAGACTTGTCTCCGCTTCCCAGCTGTTTTTGTCCTCAGGGACAAAACGAGCCGCTGCAAACACCTCCGTGCTTAAAGAGAACTGGTGAGTTTTTTTTTTAAATGGACAGAGCTGAGTAGAGGATTTAGTTTTTGCTTTCTTTGACTTATTTGGATTTTAAGTTTTAAGATTTGTTTCTATTTTTATTCTCTCTTTTTATTTTTTTTCTTTGTTGAAAGGGAAAGTAAAATGGCGATCGGCAAAATCCTCGGTGTTTTTTTTTCTGGAAGTTAGAATGCTGACCGGCAGGCTTTTTGGTGTTTGTCTTTCTTTCCTTTCCCTTTCTCTTTTTATTTCCTTATGATTGGAATGGTTGTTTTTGGTATCTCTAAGTATTTTTTTTGGAACGGACTTTTTTTATTTAATTATTTTTTTTTTTTTCTTCTCCCTTTTTTTTTCCTTTGAACTCCCTTTTTTTTTTATTGTAATGACCCTTTTTTGAAGGACTTTTTTTTTGTTTAATTTTTTGTAATTTTTAAGAAGGAGTAAAACTTTTTTTTAATTCTTTTTCTCTTCCTTTTTTTCCCTTTTTTCTTTTTATTATAATGACCTTCTTTGGAGGGAGTTATGAGTTTTGAAGGAATTTTTATAATTTCTTAAGAAGGACTAAAGGTTTTTCTTTAAGATGGCTCCAAAGCGTCCAGGGATTTCTACAGGTTCTAAATCAACAGTTTCACCCTCTTCTGGGGGTCAGCTAATAACTATGAAGGATTTGCAAGACATGATGGGAGATGTTATAATTCAAATTAGGGCAGAAATGAAAAAGATTTTAGAGGAAAACAATAAGATCTTGAGACCAGATTTTGTTTTGGCTTTAGAAGGTGTTGCTTCTGTTCTTGAAAAGGTGAACTCCCATGTGGAAGAGGTAGCTGAAAAAGTGGACATAATGGAGGGGAAAAATGAAAGTATGGAAAAAGAAATGGAAAATGAGATTCTTATGCTTCAATATGGACAAATGGAATATGCCTTAAGAATTAGAGGCCTGGGAGAGTCTTTGCAAGGAGATCTGAAGGAGATGGTTGCAAAGGACTTTGCATTGATTTAGAATAAAGAAAAAGAGGGAATACTTAATGAAATTGAAAAATTATTTAGGGTTAACTCTGTGGTGGCAGCACAGAAGAATCTGCCAAGAGATGTGGTAATTTACTTTGGTAAAAGATCTTTACGCAATGAAATTGTGCAAGCCTATTATAAGAAGAGATTTCAAATTGCCTCACAAGATGTTATAATTTTTAAAGAGATCCCATCTAAAATTTTAAGAAGAAGAAAGGAGTTTGCTTTTTTAGCAAATGAACTTAAAAAGAGAAAAATTTCATTCAGATGGGATGTTCCGATTGGAAGGGTGGTGAATTACCTGGGGACATGTTATAGACTTAATACTGTTTTTCAAGCAAAAGATTTTTATACTTCGGTCCTGGGGGTATGTGCATCGCCATCAATTAAGTTTAAAGCTTTGGAAGAAAAGAATGTAGACTCACAGTTTGAAGAGCCTATATTTATGAAAACTGGAGAATCTTTGTGTGAGAGGCCTCAACAAGTCCAGGTTGAGGAGCAGAAGACAACTTGTGCAGTATATAATCCCAAAGAAAAGCAGCAACAGAAGAAGGTTAAGGAAGTTTCATATTTAGTGGTTTCTGAATCTCTGGGAGATGTTAGACATACAAAGTCTTTGGAGCAATCTTTAAGGGTGGAATTGTTGCCTGAAATGGAAACTGGGAAATCTCAGTCTGAGGGGCATCAACAAGAGAGGAATGGGCAGAGGATAACTTGTACAACTTACAATTGTAAAGATCAATACAAGGAGGAATTTAAGGAACCCTTATTGGCTTCGGAGTCGATGGGAGATTCAGGAATTTTGGAGCAGTCTCCTAAGGCAGAACTTGCAGCATTTCTTACGAGTTTGATACAAGAATGGAGAAGGGAAAAGGAAGAATGGAAGAATGGAGAATGGAAAAAACTGGAATGTGAATAATTAATAATACTAATATAATTGAGATTGATAAGGATGTAGTTTTTTATGGAGGGAATTAGTTATTGGTGAAGATTGAAATGTTTAATGTGTTTATTAACTTTGTTGTTTTAAGTTTTGAACCTTTAATGATAATATTGTTTAAATTTGTGTTGTGAAGGGATTATAATTTGCTTATTTTAGTGAGTGGATTCTAATGTTTTAAATTTTAAAAATTTGTGGTTTTGGAGGGAGTTTATATAGAGTGATGATTGTAGTTAGATTTGTTTAGGATTTAAAAGTGTTTTTAGTTTTTAAATATTATTATTAATATTTTTAAGACAAAATAATTTGTTTAATTAAATGTGCTTAGATTTGTTTAGGACTTATAGGTTTTTTAAGTTTTTGTTTTTTTTTTTTTCTTTTTGGATAGGAGAGAAGATTATGAAGATTGAAGGAAATATGTACTTACTTTAAGTTCTTTAAGAGTATTTAGCTTTAATGGTATAACAAAGATTTGTATGTTTATTTTTTCGTTTTAGGATAAAGAAAGAGGGATAAATTAGATTTTATATTATAGATATAGATATTCAAAGAAAGTAATGTTTAAATTTGTGTTTTTGGAGGGAGCTTATATAGACTGATGATTGTATTTAAATTTGTTTAGGTTTTAAAAGTGTTTTAAGTTTTTTTTTTTTTTTAATTAAGCCTGTACTCAGCTCTGGGAAGTCCAGGGGAGGGTTTGGGAGGTTGGGAAGGGGGGGGGGGTGAGGTAGGGGGGGGTATGGGAAGGGGATTTGTTTTTGTAAAATGTAAAAATTTTCAATAAAAAAAAAAAAAAAAAAAAAAATACTTTTGAACTCTGTCCTGACCTCCTGTTTTTTGTGCTTGACATGGCCACCCTAAATTCAAACGGTCGCGAAGTGACCAAGTTATAAGTCGAGGACCACCATCCCTTCCCACTACAGCCCTCTTCGTAAATTAAGCATCATGTGGCAATCACAATGGCTGTTCTGTGAATTACCTGCTCCGAAGGGAAGAAATGCTTCTTTTTCTACAAAATGTCCTTCCTTGTCCAAGAAATGATTTGGATTGAACTTTTCAGGTGTTTCCCAGTGTTCAGGATCCAAAAGGACAGACCGTAAATCTGGGAAAATGACAGCACCCTGTAAAGAACAAAGTAAACATATTGAAACATCTGGACAAGCCCAGTTATTTCTGTCCATCCCGTTTCTGTTCCTTGTACTATTTAACTTGATATGAGCCGAGGTGGCGCAGCGGTTAGAGTGCAGTACTGCAGGCCACTTTAGCTGACTGTGTTCAGCAGGTCAGCGGTTCAAATCTCACCGGCTCAAGGTTGACTCAGCCTTCCATCCTTCCAGGGTAGGTAAAATGAGGACCCAGATTGTTGGGGGCAATGTAAATATATATATATACATTGCTTACTGGTGTACACCGCTTAGAGAGTGTTTACACTTAAAGCGGTATATAAGTCTCATAAATAAATAAATAAATAAATAAATAAATAAATAAATAAATAAATATACATTTAATTTTGAAGACACTAGCAGATAATAACAGATTTTGGAATTAATGGAACCTGTTCAGATTTATCCCCTTTTTTAGCAGATGCATCTACTAAATCCAGATTCAGTGGAAACAAGTTAAACAGTTTACATTATTATTATGTAACTATGCAGAAGAGATAAATATAAATTTAGCAAATGTAGCTGGTTAATTAAGCATACATTATTGCAACTCTGGATTTTATTGCTGTTGTTGTTCATTTCTATTTTAAATCCAAATCTGTTTTTTTTTTCCGATGTGATTTTCTTTGCCCTTAGAATTACAGTATTTATATCAACATTTAATTTATAATGATATTCATTTAAGTATTTGTACTTGCTTAAGTATATATATTTATTTAATTATATATTTATACCCTTTAACTTTCTTTCTCCGAACTAGGGAAAGATTTTTGAAGCTTTTCATTAAGGCTGATAATATTTTGCTTTTGTTCTGGAGGATAGTAACTTATTCTGCTTTTACCCACTGAAATAAATATTGCAGCAGTATCTCTCTACATGAAGAAGATAAGAGGGGAATCAGAAGAGTCAACAGGCTTGTATAAATATTTATAGAAGTATATATCAAGAAGGTTAGATAAATAGAACTATTAATGTAAGAGAAAATTAATCTGATTGTATATAATACAGATAGGGAAATTTGGAGAGAGGAGTTGCTCGGACATTACCCCTGAATTGTATCTGAAGAGGGATGAGAGGGAAGAAAGGAGAGGAGAGAGAAAAGAGTAAAGGAGGGGAGAAGGAAGTAGGAAGGTTGGAGGAGAAGAGGAGAAGGGGGGAGAAAGGGGAGGAGAGTGGTGAAGGAGAGAGAAGAGGAGAGGAAGCAGAGGGAAGTAGGGAAGAGAAGAAAGGGAGAAAGAAGGTAGAGAAGAAGGAGTGTGGATACGGTGAAAGGGGAAACGGGCGAGCAACACCAAAAGTCATGTGTATGTATTTATTTCCTTTTATTAAAAGTATCTTATATATGAATGTAAAAAGAATGTATGTTAACATCTGATAAATATCACGGTATATGTATGGGGGAGAGTTTGGAAAAATAAAAAATAAAATAAAATAAAAAAGAAGAGTCAACAGGCTGACTTTATCTGATGTTCCCAAAAAGTTAGATCTCTTTTTCATTTTATTATTATTATTATTTGACAAAATAAAGGAGTTGGAAGGGATCTTGGAGGTCTTCTAGTCCATCCCCTTGCTCAGGCAGAAAACCCCATATCATTTCAGACAAATGGTTATCCCAATCTCTTCTTAAAAGCCTCCAGTATTGGAGCACCCACAACTTGTGGAAGCAGGCTGTTCCACTGGTTAATTGTCCTCACTCCTAGGAAGTTTCTCCTTAATTCCAGGTTGCTTATCTCCTTGATTAGTTTCCATCCATTGCTGCCTTCAGGTGCTTTGGAGAATAGGATTGAGCCCCTCTTCTTTGTGGCAGCCCCTTAGATTTCAAGTGGGGTCTTACCAAGGCATTATAAAATGACATTAACAATTATTATTTATTTTATTTAAATCTGCTAAAAAAACAATGTGCCTTCAGTCCTCCATGGCTTTGGATCCAAGCTATCTGAAGAACCACCTCCCCTCAGTGACTCATGATATTGACTCATCTCTAACTGCCTGGATTCATACAATGCACTAAGCCCAAAGTAAATAAATCAGAAAATGGGAGCTCAGTCATAGAGTTCTTGCATAGAAATGGAGCCTATACATGGCAGATCCAGTAATTCAGAAGATCTAAAATCTATACCTTGAGGTTTTGTGCATAGCGCATGGCCATGGGATAGCGGAGCTCTGCTTCCCACCGCCAGTTTTTCCCTGCCAGGGGGACCCTAAATGGGTCTGAAGTTGCCCCAAAGAGGTAACCATGAAGGAGGGTCACTCCATTGATCACAAAACGGCGACAGTCATTTCATTCAATCCGGGGGAAGCCCTCTGACCCGAGAGGAGAAAGGCTAGCTGTACATCAGTGTCTAGCCCACACTACATGCAGCCAAAGTCCAAGAGCACGAACCAGAATGTCGGTGAACAACGTGCTTGGAACTGATGAGAGCATCAATCTTCTCTCTTCTATCTTTTAACCGAATCCTTGGGAAAGACCCCCAAAACAAGAAAACCTCCCCACTCTCTCATAGATGGAAGCAGCAAATTAATACTAAGGGGGAAAGAAATATATTGAAATTAAATTTAAAATACTACAGTCTGGACAAATCTAGAAACTAAAAAAAAAGTGTTAAGACTATACCCTAAAGGGTTTTGATGAAATTATAAAAATATATATAACAATAATAACTTTTTGTCTGAAAAAAACTAGAAAATAAATAACTACTGACACCTAGTGGAGAATCAGAATCAAAGCTAGAAAATAAACAACTACTGACACCTAGTGGAAAATCAGAGCATAGAAAACTAAAAATAATGACTCAGAAACAAAGAATAATCTGTTACCTTGAATTTTAAATAAGACAGCTGGGAACAGAAAGAGCTGGGCCAGCTATAAGATTAAAAAGTGTCTCAAAAAAAATAAAATAAAATCTATACCTTGGGAATGAGAAAACCATTCAGATAAATGTCCTGTACACATTGTCTGGGAAGCCCAAATAGGAAGGCATATTTTTTTCGTATGATCTCATGAATCACAGCATTGGTGTAGGGCAGTTTCTTCTGGTCATTGTAACAGATTGAGAGCGAAGAACCAAAAACTTCATCCACCTCCTTGTGAACTTTATCTGAGAAAAAAGAATTTTATTGCACACTATTCAATTTATTTCCCAAAAGAAATAATAAGAACATTGAGAGATATTAATCCATATAGGACTTGGTAGGATTGCCAGTAAGCGTAACAGCAACCCTGAATATTAACTGACCTATAGTGTAAAATAAAGGATCCAACAATTGAATTGACCCCTGACTTAGAGACAAAACAAGTCTTGGACTTTGGTTCTGTTTCATTTTAGCTTCCTTTGAGATGATAAAGATAGATAGATAATAGAGAGATACAGAGAGATAGATGAGAGATAGATGATAGCTAGCTGGCTGACTGACTAGATAGATGATAGATATAGATAGATAGATGATAGATAGATAGATAGATAGATAGATAGATAGATAGATAGATAGATAGATAGATAGATAGATAGATTAGTAATCATATCTTTTTGTTTCTCTGTTCTAGCCAATCATAACATTTGTTCAATATCTCATAGAATTCTGTTGCCTCCTTGTCTTTTAGTGCTAGCGTAAGTTTATTCATTTAGTCCTTCTCTTCATTAGACAAAACATATCCAGTTCCTGCAGCCAGTCTTTATATGTTTTATAACATGTTTTATACAGTAAAGGAGTATTTTATTACACAAAGTACAATTTTGTCTTGACAATTTAATAGGCTAGGCTAGGCTAGGCTAGGCTAGGCTAGGCTAGGCTAGGCTAGAATAGAATAGAATAGAATAGAATAGAATAGAATAGAATAGAATAGAATAGAATAGAATAGAATAGAATAGAATAGAATAGAATAGAATAGAATAATAACTTTATTGTTGCTTTGAATGTACACTAATTGGCATACATCAAAATGAAATTCCGTTGCATTCAGCTCTCAAAGGGTCACCGCCTCCGATATACACTACATAAATATGCCCCAAAATAAATACAGAATTATACATATGCCCACATATATTATATGACATAGAGAAATATTGTATACATTTAAATCTATGTAACTGTTGTCAGATGATGCAACAATCAGCCTTAAAATTGATGATGACGATATTGAAAAGATGAGTAGCTCCCGCCTTTTAGGATCAACTATCAACACTAAACGAACCAGTGATCAAGTGGCTAAGAAATACGCCACAGATTAGCATTTGGTAAAATAACAATTAAGGCCTTGAGAAGGGATTCAGACGGTGGTATCCTCTGTCTCTACAAAGATCAGAAACATGGAAGCAATATTTTTTCCTGTAACACTTTATGGAAATGAAAGTTAAGCTTTGAGAAAATATTAAAATCGTATTCATGCTTTTGATCGGTGGTGGGATTCAGTCGGTTCGCACCACTTCGGCAGAACCGGTAGCTAATTTTTTTGTGGCCCAGGTCCAGAATGGACTTCTGGAAGTGGCATCCACAACAGTGTGCAATTTGTCTTACCTTGGATATCCAAATTATTTGCCACGAGAAGCATTGCCCATTCCAAGGAGGCATATGTTGTGTCTGTCCCAGCAATAAAGAGGTCAGCAATGCACTGAGCCAAGTTATCTTCATTATAAGTAGAACGGAGATCATCCTTCCTCTACGGTTATTAATAAGAAAAAGGAGATGTCATTTATAGGCATTTTCCTACAGCTAACGAAACTATTCCAAACTAATCTGTTCCCGTACTAGTCTATGAGCCATTTTGCTGAGGAGAATGAGGCAATAGTCAGGCTGTCAGAAGGTCTCAAAGGGTAAATATAAGTAGGACATAATTATTGAATAAATGCTCCAGAGCAGTGTTTCTCAACCTTGGCCCCATAAAGATGGGTGGACTTCAACGCCCAGAATTCCCCAGGAAGAAAAAATGGAGTTGAAGTCCACGCATCTTCAAAGGGCCAAGGTTGAGAAACACTGCTCAAGCTGGCTGAGGAATTCTGGGAATTGAAGTCCACAAGTCTTAAAGTTGTCAAGATTGAGGACCCCTGCTCTAGAGGACACCAGTGGAGAAATAGCAACTGATTCAAAGAAGACCAAACAAAGTTGAAGGAAGTCTACTCAACACAGATAGCCTTCTACCTGTAACTGTTTGTTTAGTGATCATTCAAGGTTGTGACACTGGAAAAAGTAACTTATAACCAGTCCTCGTGCTTATGACCGTCATAGCATCCCCATGGTCACATGATCAAAATTCAAGTGCTTGACAACTGGCATGTATTGAAAAATGGTTTCAGTGTCCTGGGGTCCAAGCTCAGAGAGCACCAAAGACCCCTCTTTTATGTCATTGCAAAGACCATCTTCACAGACTCATTTTCAATCCCTTTTTAAATGGGATTTTCTAGTTCTACACCCATTGCACATCAAGTTATTAATTTCACTGAAATTGTCTACCAAGGTCCTAAGGCAGTGGTTCTCAACCTGTGGGTCGGGACCCCATTTGGGGTCGAACGAACATTTCACGGGGGTCACCAAACCACGCTGTCCGCCATTTTTTCCCTTTTCCCTAGCTGTCCTACTCCCTCTTATTGGTGGCCACACCCATTTGGGGGTCACCACGACATGGGGAACTGTATTATGGGGTCACGGCATTAGAAAGGTTGAGAACCACTGTCCTAAGGTCTCTTTTGTCCTCAGTTCCAAATAATTCAGATGACACTCATACCTATGAGTAGGGAGGAGGTGTTCCAACATGCTTGTTTTCCCCTTTTAATGACCCTGTAATCCCTTGCATTCCCTAATTGGGAAAAGCTACCTTAACTGCTCTTTCTTAGAACTTTTTGGATCATTAGTTTTGTGTATTGATTGATGGAACTTTCTCTCTTTTTTTTTTTACTTTCTCCCTAAGTAAAGGGTGAGGGTAGAAACAGTGTCCCCTGGTGGATATTTTTGCAATTTCTTCCCTTTGTTTTCCTGCCACATTATTTCTTTTTGCTACACTATCTCTGTTGATATAGCTGTGGTGTTTGGCTCAATGCCAAGACACTTGGCTGACTGCCCAGACATCTCTACTTTGTTTGAAGATTACTAAGAGAGACTGCTCTCTATTTTATGTTTTTGTTTTTCTGTCCTTGCTTGGTGTTTTGGTGTTTGATTCCCTTTTTGGATTGATTTTATTCTCTTTAAAATAAGGGAACTATAGAAGTTTTTTTTTCTTTTTATGTCTACATGGGATTATAAATCACATATTCTTTTTTTCTTTTTTGTCTTTTTTGTTCTTCTTTTGTATTTGTTACTCTTTTTATGTCAGCCCTGTTGTGTGGATATAAACATATTTTTTTTATTTTTCTATTTGCTTCCTTCTTTTTTCTTTTTCTTTTTCTTTCTTCCTTTTTTATTTTTGCCCAGAGATCTGCTATCCCTTTTTATATTATTTCCTACTTTTTGATGTTACTACTGCTGGATATTTTTAATTTTGCTTTTATTTTTTTTATTTTTTTTTCTGAGGGTTCCAGATTACATATATATACTGCTCAAAAAAATAAAGGGAACACAAACGTATAGAATCCTATATGTTTGTGTTCCCTTTATTTTTGTAAGCAGTATATTTTTGGGTTTTTTTTTTCCTCTCCTCTCTTTTGAGCTTTTTGGTGGATTATAATTGGCCATCGGGCCCTACCTTGGATTACAATTAATTGGGCCATCAGGCTTGATGTTGGATTATAAATAAATACAACAAATACAACAACTAAAATGAGTGTTTCAAATTTGGCGAAAGGGGCGAGGAAGGGATCCTCTGCTCCCGCATCAACCTCAATTAGTCCAGCACTTCAAAAATTGATTACAACTTTTTTACAGCTCGACACGCAGCAGAAGGATACGCAAGCCATTCTCCAGGCAATTATGGATTCTAAAATGGAAATTAAAAAGGATTTTGAAGACTCTAAAATGGAAATAGAAAAGGATCTCGAAGACTTGAAAAATGATTTGCTTAAGATGGATCAAAAAATGGAATCCTTTCAACAGGCAATGTCAGACACTCAACAACGAATGCAAAATATTGAAGACAAGTCAGTGGTGGTAGAGCAGAAATTAGAGGCTCTCCAAGATAAAAACCAGAGATTGGCACAATCCAACGCAGAGCTGGAAGAAAGCATGGCAATGATGGAGCTAGAACGCACATCATACTTTCTAAGATTCCAAAACATGATAGAAGAGTGATGAGAACTTATTACTATTGATGACTGAATTATTGGCGGACTTGCTTGGAATGGAAATGGATCAAATTAAAAGAGAAGTTGATCAAGTCTATAGAGTGAATTCAAACTATGCAAGAAGAAATAGAGTGCCCAGGGAAGTTCATGTTAGATTTAGCAAAAGAGCACTTCGGGATGAGATCCTGAGACTAGTGAGGGACCAACCTCTGAAATATAAAGATAAAGATTTGGTAGTTCTCAAACAGATCCCAAGAAGAATTAGAGAAACTCGAAGAGAATACCAATTCTTAACGAGGAAATTGATCAGTAAAGGAGTGGACTTCAGATGGTTGGTCTCGGAAGGATTATTAATTTTTTGGGACACAAAAAGATATAGATTGAACACCCCACAACAAGCAGAGGATTTCTTTAATAATCATAGAGACTTCTTGGAGAGAGGTGAGGCGGAACCCAAGAAACCAGAGGAAACGACTGCAGGAACACTGAAACAAACAGAGGAAGATGCGCCTACAAAGACTCAACCAGAGGAAGATGTGAGGCCTAAAGATCAGAGACAGATAAGCTCTCTTAGAAAATTGAGATCTCGACACAATTGAAACTATGGAGGAAATTGGAATTCTTTCAATAAATATAAATGGTCTTAACTCCCCATCAAAAAGGAGTAAAATATTTCATAGGCTACAAAAGTTAAAAATGGATATAATTTGTCTCCAGGAGACACACATTAAGTTACAACATTTTAGAATATTTGAACAATTAAAACTTGGCAAACTTTATTTTTCCCTGGCATCACAAAAGAAAAGAGGGATAGCTCTAGATATAAAAGAAAAGATGAATCCAAAACAAATTTATGCTGATGAAGAGGGGAAAATACTGATGGTTGAGATTACATGGAATCAAAAACAAAGATTGATGGTTGCAATATATGCTCCCAATGAGAAACAAGATCAAGTCTCTCAGCAGTTATATGATAAACTTGTGGACTTAAACTACTATAGCTTGTGTATACTTGGAGACTTTAACACAATTGTTGATCCAATACGAGACTATAAAAGTCACAAACAGGGGGAAAAAGGAAGTAATGTCTTACCTAAATCCTTTCTAAGAATGAAAGATGAACTCTGTATACAGGACATTTGGAGAGAGATGCACCCGGAAAAAGCATAATACACCTTTTATTTTAACAGACATGAATCGTGGTCAAGAATTGACATGATATGGACTTCTTTGGATTTAAAGGCCATGATACAAGAAATTGAAATAGAATCTAACATTTGGGCAGACCATAATTCAATGAAAATGACCTGGAAAGGACAAGAAAAGACCAAGATGGTCCTTGAATGAATCAATATTGAAAGAAAAGGAGTTTTTACAATTTGCAATAAAAGAAATGGAATTCTTTTTTTAAAATCAATAAAAAAGAAGAAACCTCTATTCAAATTGTATGGGACATGGCAAAAGCATATTTTAGAGGTTTGGCCATAACTTATCTTGCTAAAAAGAATAAGGAAAAGAAACTTGTTCAACATAGATTGAAAGAACAACTCAGTATGTTGGAAGCTGAATTACAATCAGACCCTCAAAAGAAAAAGTTGAAAATACAAATGGAACTATTAAAACATAAGTTAAACTTACTTAAGGCAAATACAATGGCACAACAGATTAAAAGGTCCAAACAGAACTTTTTTGAAAATGCCAATAAACCTGAGAGATGGCTTGCATATGGATTAAAAAAAGAAAGAGAAAAAAGATTAATAAGTAAGCTATGGGATACAGACGGTGACCTACAATGTCACAATGACTTAATGAAAAAAATTACGAAGGAGTATTATGAGACACTGTATAAGGAGGAGACGGTTTCTAAAGATGTAATTCAGGCTTATTTAAAAGAAGCAAATCTCCCAAAGGTTCCTGAGAATATGCGTCAGAGGCTAAACGAGAATGTTTCAATGATGGAGATTACAGAGGCAATAGAAAAGCAAAAGAAAGATAAAACACCAGGACCTGATGGTCTTCCTGATGAATTTTACATAGCGTTACAAGATACTATAACTCCAACCTTGAAAGACTTATGTAATGAAGTGTTTATACATACAAAAATACCGGACTCGTGGACTGAAGCTAACATTTCTTTGATACCTAAAGAAGATACTGATCATACACTAATTAAAAATTACAGACCAATATTGTTACTAAATGTGGATTACAAAATCTTTGCTGAAATAATGGCAGAAAGAATGAAAAATTTATTGAATGAATTTATACACCCAAACCAAAATGTTTTCCTACCAAAAAGACAGATAAAGAACAATTTAAGGATTATTTTAAATGTTTTGAAGTACTATGAAATTCATCCAGGGAACCAGATGGCACTTATATTCCTTGATGCACAAAAAGCCTTTGACAACTTAAATTGGCAATTTATGTTTCAACAACTTCAAGAAATGAACTTTGGTGAAAATTTTAACAAAGCAATTCAAGCAATTTATAAGAAACAAACAGCAAGAATACTTTTAAATAGAGATTATACAGATGGATTTGAGATTTAAAAAGGCACTAGACAGGGATGCCCGTTGTCTCCTCTGTTGTTTATTCTTACATTAGAGGTTCTGGCAAGAAATATCAGACAAGATACAGAAATTAAAGGTCTGGAGATTAAGACCAGAAATATAAACTACAAGCCTTTGCGGATGACTTGGTCTTCATTCTAGAGGAGCCATTGCAAACAGCTGATAAACTTCTGCAGAAAATTGAGAAATTTGGAGAAGTGGCTGGTCTGAAAATAAACAGGGAAAAGACTAAAGTAATAAAAAAAATCTAACAGACAAACAGAAAACTCAACTCGCTAAAATGACAAATCTTCAAATAGTTAAAAAAGTTAAATATTTGGGTATTTATTTAACGGTGAAATATACTACACTAAAAGAAGATAATTATGAGAGATTAATGAAACAAATAAAAATAGACTTGGAAAGATGGGGAAATCTTCAATTATCACTTTTAGGAAGAATAGCGACGGTTAAGATGATCATTTTACCAAAGCTAATTTTCTTATTTCAAACAGTGCCTATTAAACTTACTAAGAATTTTTTTGATGATTTAAATGCAATGATTCTAAGATTTATATGGCAAAAAAAGAAAGCAAGAATCAAATGTAAATTGTTACAAGAATTTAAGGATAGAAGAGGCTTTGGACTTCCAGATTGGAGACTTTACTATCAAGTGGCTATTTTGCTTTGGCTTAAAGAATGGATTGTATTGAGAAATAAAAGATTGCTTTACTTAGAGGGACATGACCTTCAGCTAGCTTGGCATGCTTTTATATGGTACGAGAAGTCTAAAGCACATAAGTACTTTCAAAATCATGCAATAAGAAACGTACTACTTTCAGAATGGGAGAAAATTAAACATAAAATATACATGAAAATACCTGAGTGGCTTTCAACAATGGAAGCATTTGCTTATCCAAATCTGATTAACTATGACAAACGGTTAGTTATAAAGACATTTTAGACAAAGAGGGAAAACTTAAGGACAGGCAAACTTTACAAGTACAAGGTATTGACTTGACATGGTGGTCCTACTTGCAAATTCAAACAAGATACGAAAAAGATATAAAATCAACAGGTTTTTTACAAAGAACAGACCTCATTTGATAAAATTTTGTTAAAAACAGATGAGAATTTGATTAGAAAACTCTATAAATTTCTTTTAAACTGGAAGATGGAAGAAGAACAAGTGAAAGAAATAATGATAGTATGGGCAAAGAACTTTGGATATTCTATAGATTTGGAAGATTGGCAAAAACTTTGGGATAAAAATATTAAGCTTACAAAAGCGGTAGCATATAAAGAAAACTTATATAAGATGTTTTATAGATGGCATATGATACCAGTTTGCTTAGCGAAAATGTTTAAAAATGTTTCAGATATCTGCTGGAAATGTAAACAACAGCCAGGCACTTATTACCATGCCTGGTGGACATGCCCTATCGCTAAGAAATATTGGTCTAAGATCCATAGATGGTTGGAAAAGAAGATGAAACTACAGATAGAATTTAAACCAGAATTGTTTTTGTTAGGAATATTAAGACCTAATTATGGCAAAGAGAATGACTACTTGATATTGCATGTTTTAACTGCTGCAAGGATAGTATTTGCCCAATTTTGGAAAAATGAGAATTTACCATCTGACCAGATTATTATTACCAAAATTTTAAAGTGTGCAGAAATGGATAGACTAACATTATAAATGAAAGAAAAAGATGATTCAATTTATTTTAGAACTTGGGAAAAATTTTATCAGTGGTTAGAGACACGTTAGAACTTGAAGGATTCAATATTTTAGAATAGCTGACTGATTTTTAATCCAGTTCTAACTAACATTTTGATGATATGATTACTTTTCCTGATTTACTGATTTTCATTTGTTACTTTTGATTGTTAGGATTTTTTTGAGATTTTATTAGTAGTGTTTACTTAATAGATCAACATATTTGTTTACTAATTGTTTTTAATATGTTACAGTCTAAGCTTTGTTAAAAATGGTTGAATATGATATTTACTCATTATTACAATCCGGATGGTTGCTTGTTTGTTGAAATATGTGATTGTGCCTATCCTTATTTTATCCTAATTCCTTATTTCCTCCCCCTCCCCCTTTCCTTCTACCCCTCCCTTTACCATACCTGTATTGTTCCTATTTTTCCTCTCTTATATAAACTTAATAAAATTTTGATTAAAAAAAAAAGCTATGGCAAATCTAGACAGCATACTAAAAAGCCGAGACATCACCCTGCCAACAAAAGTGTGTATAGTCAAGATCGTGGTTTTCCCAGTTGCAATGTATGGCTGTGAAAGTTGGACCATAAGAAAGGCTGAGTGCCAAAGAATTGAGGCCTTTGAACTATGGAGCTGGAGAAGACTCCTGCGAGTCCCCTGGACTTCAAGGCGATCAAACCGGTCAGTCCTAGAGGAGATCAACCTTGATTGCTCTTTAGAAGGCCAGATCCTGAAGTTGAAACTCAAGTACTCTGGCCACCTAATGAGAAGGAAGGATTCACTGGAGAAGAACCTAATGCTCTTAGATGGCGGGCAATAGAAGAAGGGGACGACAGAGAATGAGATGGCTGGAGGGAGTCCCTGAAGCAGTAGGTGTGAGCTTAAATGGACTCCAGAAGATGGTACAGGACAGGAAGGCCTGGAGGAACGTTGTTCATGGGGTTGCGATGGGTCGGTCATGACTTTGCAACTAACAACAACAACAAATTTTACCATTCAGTTGTTCATTCATTCACTTTAAAGATACTATCTTAACACCCTTTACAATTACTTCCAGTTTTAACGTCCTGAAGACCATTTGTAGCTTTGGCCAGCTCAGTGCTGCTCCATATTTATGACGGTGGCAGTGTCCCAAGGTCATGTGATCATCTTTTGTGACAAGCAAAGTCAATGGGGAAGCCAGATTCGCTTAACAACCGTGCTAATACCTTAATACCTGCACTGATTCACTTAGCAACTAGGGCAGGGGTGTCAAACTCAATTTCACTGAGGGCCGCATCAGCACTGTGGTTGCCCTTGTGGGGCCAGGTGTGTGTGGCCAGAGTGGGTGTGGCCTACTGGGAGGGCGTGGCCAGTTCTACACCATTTGTGTCAAGGGTGCCTGTGGGGGCCTGGGCAGGAGTGGGACAGATCTGAGGGTCTATGGCAGAAGAGGATGGAACTGGGGCAAGTGCCAAGGCATGGTCCACTGGGGCAAGTGCCAAGGCATGGTCCACTGGGGCAAGTGCCAAGATGGCCACCACAAAATTGTACATTGGCTCCTGGCTGGCCTGGGCCAGGGCCAAGGCAGTGGGGGCCATTCCCTCACTGTTTCCAGGATGTCTTCACGGGCCACATGAAATCACTTCGCGGGCCGCATCTGGCCCCCAGGCCTTGTGTTTGACATGTCTGAACGAGGGCAAGAAAGGTCACTTAACAACTGTTTCACCTAGCCACAGAAATTTTAGGCTCAATTGTGGTCTAGTCAAGGCACACCTGTGAGGAGCCCATAGAAGATATGCTGTACAATGAATAGGAGCTATGCACCAATGCTTACTTTCTCCATTTGAAATAGATAGGAGTCAGTGAAATCCTGTAGTGCATGCAAGTTCTGGTTCTCCTTATGCTGGGTGATCTCCTTCCTCGCAACCGAAACTATTCTCTCCAGAGCAGATAGGGCAGTCTGGTGAGGGCCTGGCAGGTGCTTCATGATATTTGAGAAATTTTCATAAAGCTATAAAAGAGAAAGGAAGTAAGAGAGAGAGAGAGACCCAAGGGTGTTTTTTCAGGTGGCAACTGGACTTTCTTGTTTTTCTTTGAAGACATTTCGCTTCTCATCCCAGAAGCTTCTTCAGCTCTGACTGGAGGGTGGGGAATGGAAGGAGCTGAAGAAGCTTCTTAGATAAGAAATTAAACGTCTTCAAAGAAAAACAAGAGAGCCCAGTTGCCTCCTGGAAAAGCACCTTTGGGGCAACCGTGACCTGAATGACTGAGAATCTCCATAGGCATTCAGCTATGCCCTTTGGGAGGAACACCCTTCCAATGGTGCAGGAGCATGAACGGATCTCCAGGAAACATTGCAGGCTACAGGAATTATTTGCGCTTCAGTTTGAGATGCAGACAACACGGATTCCTCCCCAACAGCCCGTGCCTGTCTTCAACCGTGAAGGGATTCAGGGCAGAAAACATCCTGCAGCCAAGAAGGCTCCACACACCCGTTTGCACCACTCAGATGACCTTGAGGACACAGGTAAACCTCCAAGTGGCCTCAACGACTCTCTAAAAGAAGGCAAACGACCAGCTCTCTGCAAGGAGTATAAATCCTTCCCTTCGCCACCATCCAGTCAGAGCTTGAAGAAGCTTCTTGGATGAGAAGCGAAACGTCTTCAAAGAAAAAACAAGAAAGTCCAGTTGCCTCCTGAAAAATGTCTTTTGGAAGGTTGCACCTGTGTCAGGGGAATACAAAGAAACAGGCAACAAAAACACAACTCTTCGGATTACGTGGCCAAGCCTTAAGGATCAACTCATTTCAAAGTGTACAATATTAATGCTGTGTTGTCATTCAAGAATGGCCAACCTATTTAACTTCTTTTAAACACCACCAATCCATTGTTCTAGAAAAATCCCCAAATTAAGCAACTCAGATGGGAAGCAGAAGGAGAAGCAAAGTTGCCACCACTTACTAGGTAAAAGATACTGCTTCCAAATTTTAAGGAAATCGAAATGGCTTCCATCAACTCCAGGAAGTCCTTATCGTCAGTGGAAAAGCGACGTCCGAAAGCTACAGCACAAATCACACTGCAGACTGATCTCACGATGGGTAGCGATGGGTCAAATGGCTGCCCTGGAAACAAGAGAATTTGTATTTATAGTCGCATTAATTCTGCCTTTCCTGGTTATATGAAAAAATTGGATGGCTGGTAAATCTTATTAAAAAAACAGATAGCCTTCAACTTACGACCACAATTGAGTCCCAGATTTCTGTTGCTAAGCGAGACATTTGTTAGATGGGTTTTGCCCCATTTTACAACTTTTCTTGCCACCTTTGTTGAGGGAATCAATGCGGCTGTTAAGTTAGTAAGAGGGTTGTTAAGTGAATCCAGCTTCCCCATTGACTTTGTGTCAATTGTCCTTCGTCTGCTGAAAACAAACTCCAGGAATGCAGGAACAAAGTGACCAACAGGATTTTAATGCATGCAAAATTAAAGTCAGCATTGGGAGTGGTTTGCTCCCAGTGCCTTACGTAGAAGTGCCTCGCCCTCCAACCCCACCCCAATCAGCAAGCCAGCATCCGGTCTGTGCAGGTAAAAGCTGCAGGTCAATTTCCAACACCCCGCTTTCAGACGCATCACTGCAGCCATTCCTCCGTCGGATGCCGTCTCCAGGTCACATGGCCTCCGCAGGACCAGTCGTCCTACTCAGCAGCGTTCACTGTCCAGCTACCTTGCCCAGCAGCCGGCTTTCTTCCCCCGGCTGCCGGAATTGCTCCGCAGCATGTGAGAGCGCCGGGCGGCTTTTCCAAAGCTCAGCTACTTCGCGTGGTAGCCGGCGTTCTCCCCGGCCACCGGCAGTGCATCAGGTGGCATCAGGCGATGTCTCCAACACCCAGCTGTTGGGCACAGTAGACGGCTTCCTCCCCGGCTTCCGGCAACAAGGGAGAGGCAGTCGCGGTGAGAGGCAGCCCCTCCAACACCCAGCTGGCCTGTCTCCGTTGCCCAGCTGATCTTCAGGATTCGGGCGGCACACGGGGTTGGCTGCAGGCAGCGCACAGATGTCGTCCGCTTGGTTTTGGCTGGCTGCTGTGTTCCTCCCCCCCCCACACCGGTACATGACGAGCCCAGGGGCTTGACACTTTGCTTGTAAGAAGGTCACTGGAGGGGATCACATGATTCTGGGATGCTGCAACCGTCATAAATATGAGTCAGTCATATTTATGACATGAATGACATCATGAATTTTTATGATGTGACCCCGGGGGATGCTACAACGGTCATAAGTGTGAAAAATGATCATGTCACTTTTTTTCATGCCGTTGTAACTTTGAATGATCACTAAATGAACGGTTGTTAAGTCGGGGACTGTCTAAAAGGAAGAAAAGTTGGGATCCTTATTTATAATTTTTACTAGACAAGTTAAACTTCCTGTTGAGAATACATGAACTCTAGCCTAACTAGCATAACTGGAAAACCTTATCAATGTTCTTAACGAGGAATTCTATCTGATATTTCTTGGTTACCGATATTCTTTCCTCAAGCACTTTAGACCGGGGTTCTTCAGACTTGGCCCTTTTATGACTTGTGGACTTCAACTCCCAGAATTCCTCAGCCAGGCACACGTGCCTGGCTGAGGAATTCTGGGAGTTGAAGTCTACAAGTCATAAAAAGGCCACGTTTGAAGAACCCTCTTTAGATTCTACCTCTCCTTTAGATTTTGTTTTAATGCCTTGAATAGTTAGGCAACATAGTTATCAGAATGAATATGGTTTTGGTTACTTCGATGCTAAGCTATATAAAAATGCATTTAAATAGTCAGCATAGAAGGTGTTTGAGGTGTCTGTGATATTTCTAAAGAACCTCTAGCGTTTCTATGTCTAAGAAATTGATGTTGAATGTTTGAAATCATATTTGGAACACACCCATGAATAGGAACACCCCACAGTACAAAAATCAGCAGGGAATAACAATTTATACAATGTTAGCAGCAGCTTTGCCTGCGTACTTTTCCTTATTGTGTGCATCAGCTGTATGACTGGATTTACACAAGTTAGACTGCATAAAGCGGAACTCGCAAGTTCGTGTTTCAGCATGTGGGGAAAACAGGCTACATATATGTTTGCATATCTGTTCTTTTTACTAGTTACAAAGTCGTGTCCGACCCATCATGACCCCATGGACAACGTTCCTCCAGGCCTTCCTATCCTCTACCATCTTCTGGAGTCCATTTAAGCTGACGCCTCTTTTTTTTTGTAAGAAATTTTATTCATTTTTCAATTTAGTATTTAGGAAGCAGCGCGGTGATAGGATAGTCAATAGTCCAATAACAAAATCTTGCATACATATCTCATATTACATCATTAAAAGCTCCCTCTCTATTTCCCTTAATTATTGTATCAAATTCAAGTTAATACATTTCTAATTATAGCTCAGTCAGTCAATACATTTGTCAATATAGTTTTGCTTATACATATCCAAGTCCTGTTTTTAAATTTTTCCTAATTCCAATTAACCATATTCCAATTTGGCCTTCAATAACCGTAATTTTTAAACTTCAGGAAGCCCAAATTTCCCTAATTTCATTTCAAAATAGTTATGTCTAAAATACACATATTATTCAGATAATTACATTTTCAAAAGTATATTCTATTTCTCGTCCTAGTAGCTCATCATTTACTAATAAACTATCTTTCATTGTCACAAATCCCTTTCCATATTACATTTCAAAACTATAATCTAATAACTAATTTTCATTTCCTTTATAAGTCTAAATCCTGGATACTAGATCAATCAATATCTCTAAAAATCTCCTTAGTCCATTAGGTAAAATTTTAAGCTGTTCTATCGTCAATCAGGAGAAAAAGAAACAGGGAAGTCCCATTTTTGAATCTGACTCTAGCTTTCTTTTTGTGCCAAACAGGTTTCCATACTAATGCCCCCAAATCCTCAAATGGGTCTCCCTTCATTCCTACACATGTTGTTTGAATCAAGGGAGACCATCCAGATATCAATTTTTCAAAGGAACTGGTCCCTTTGTAGTCATTGAATTGTTGCCCTAATAGTTCAGATCTCCCTGTTTGATTTAGGATGTATGTCATCAATTCAGTCAGGTCTTGTTCTTTTTCTTTTTGTGCCAAACAGGTTTCCATACTAATGCCCCCAAATCCTCAAATGGGTCTCCCTTCATTCCTACACATGTTGTTTGAATCAAGGGAGACCATCCAGATATCAATTTTTCAAAGGAACTGGTCCCTTTGTAGTCATTGAATTGTTGCCCTAATAGTTCAGATCTCCCTGTTTGATTTAGGATGTATGTCATCAATTCAGTCAGGTCTTGTTCTTTTTCCAGTTCCATCTGGCTAGAGTAAAAGGTCATATCCAGTGTTATGGTTGTTGTTTGATTGTCAAAGTTGTCTAAGGTCTCCATATATTGTGTTTCCATCTTAATGTTGGTTCCTTCAGTTCCTGTTGCTTTTTGAATTACAAGTACTTTAGTTGAAATCAAGATTTACTTGTGAAAATTCTCCTTAGGTTGTATTTGTTGTTGTGTAGAATCTTCTTTGATATTAATTGGTTCCTCTTCAGTTGTTTTTTTGGTTTCTAGATTCATCAGTTAAAGTCTGGGTTTCATTTTGTGATTTTAAGATGACATCTTTGAATTTCACTCTGGAATTCATTAGCTCAGTGACTTCAAGGATTTTTTCGAGTATAAACTTATAATTAAGTTGTGGGTAGAATTCCTCCATTTCTGTGGTGATTACAAATAAACTTTTAGTGGAGGCTGTTGTAAGAGTCAACAAATGTCCACCTCCATTATTCCTAGAGGTTATTTTCACCACCCAGCTGTTTCAGGTTCTTATCTTTTTTAGATAGTGTGAAGGCCAATTCTAAAGAATAAACAGGCCTGACAGTCAAAAAAGTTCAGTTGCTGTACCAGGTTTTGCCACAAGATGTCAGCGATAGACTTAAAATCTTTTTCCAGAGAGCGATTAACTTTTTATGCAATTAATTTTTTTTTCCAAAGTTAAAAAAATAGATGAGATGCTAGATCCCTGTAGCAGGAACTTTTTGGGGCCCCAAAGTGTCCAAAAAATACAAATCCAGTTATTTAGTCATTTAGATTAGTTGTTATTTTTTTCAAGGCTTAATTTCCCAAAGTGAGTAAACGCCGCTGTGTTAGAAGTGAGGAAGAGATTTCAGGAAGCTTTCACAGGAAGGTAGTTGGAGTAAGAGAAAGGGAAGAAAGAGTCTCACCCAGATCTTCCGCGTTGCTTCATTGTGCTTAGTGATGAGTTTGGCTTTCGGCAGGCACAGCTTAGTGATCGGCAATGTTAATGGCCGATCTTTCCTCTGACGGTCCGAAGGAACTGCCTCGGATCAAACGGAAGGGCTGCCACCCTTCCGTAATCTATCAAGGGTCTTCCTCATGGTTGTCACCCCTTCAAGGTGACTTATGACCCTTTTCAGGATCGCCTGATGAAGGGAAACCGGGCGGCGGAGAGAACATTCTCCCTGTGCACCTGCCAGCACTGTGATCCGGAACTGGAAGCCATGCCTACTGCTTCAGTGACTCCATCCAGCCACCTCATTCTCTGTCGTCCCCTTCTTCTACTGCCCTCAATCTTTCTGCATATCTGTATGTGTGTTCTTTCTTATTTTATTTCTCTCTCTGCCTCTGTCTCTTCTAGAAAAGAAACATTGATCGCTGCTATATTTTGCCATCTGGATTTGCACAAATCTTTTTCACGCTTATGGGGATATCCACACTTCCAAATTGCCCTGTCTTAAAAACTGAAGGTCACCATTAGTTTCAGGAGGGTTAACATGTATGTCCTGCTGTTCTCACCACCAACACACTGTGAATGGGGTTTCCAGCCATCTTTTTCTATTGTAAGTTAACGGAATCTTTAGAATAATAGAATGGAATGGAATGGAATGGAATGGAATAGAAACAGGAAGAAGACTAGACTAGACTAGACTAGACTAGACTAGACTAGACTAGACTAGAATAGACTAGAATAGAATAGAATAGAATAGAATAGAATAGAATAGAATGGGACCTTGGAGGTCTTCTAGTCCAGCCCTCCACTCAACCAGAAGAACCTATACCAGTGATGGCGAACCTTTTAGAGACCAAGTGCCCAAACTGCAACCCAAAACCCATTTATGCATTGTCAGGTGCCAGGTGGGTGTAGTCCATTGGCTGGGTGTGGTCCATTGGGTGGGCGTGGCTGTGGTGGTAACGGCAGACTGGGTGGGACTAAAAAGTTCAACCAATCAGTTCCAACTTTGCAAGATCTTTTTTTCCCCCGCGAGAAGTTGAAATTGACTGATTGATTGAACCTTTTTTTTTGTACACGGCGGCAGAGGCCTAAAGCGAAAAGGTTTCATAAAACCCAGCTGAAGGCCTAGGACTGGGGCAATGGCGCACGTGCCCACAGAAAGGGCTCTGAGTGCCGCCTCTGGCACCCGTGCCATAGGTTCGCCACCACTGACCTATACCATCTCAGACAAGTCACTGCCCAGTCTCTTCTTAAAAACCTCCAGTGATGGAGCACCCACGATTTCTGAAGACAAGCTGTTTCACTGGTTAATTATCCTCACTATCAGGAAGTTTCTCCTTAATTCCAGGTTGCTCCTCTCTTTGATCAGTTTCCATAGAATCATATAATCACAGGGCTGCAAGGGACCTTGGAGGTCTTCTGGTTCAAACCCCTGCCCAAGAGGGTCCTTACACCATCTAGTTTTGGTCTCCACACTATAAAAAAGATGTTGAGACTCTAGTGCAGAGAAGAGCAACAAATATAATTAGGGGACTGAAGGCGGAAACATACGAAGAACCGTTGCTCGAATTGGGTTTGTCTAGTCCAGTGGTTCTCAACCTTTTTAATGCCGCGACCCCCAACCGGTCGTAAGTCGAGGACTACACAACTGGTCGTAAGTCGAGGACTACACAACTGGTCGTAAGTCGAGGACTACTCAACTGGTGCAGCACCGTTCGCAGAATGGGACTTTTGGCGGGCTCAGCAGGGCAGAGACAGCCTGGACAATTCCTATTGGCTTTTGAAAGCCAATAGAATTAGACTCTATTCAAGAGAGTCTATTCTATTGGCTTTCAAAAGCCAATAGAATAAAAGGGAGTAGCACAGCTAAGGAAAAGGGGGGGAAAATGGCGGACTGCGTTGTTTGGCGACCCCCGTGAAATGGTCGTTCGACTCCAAATGGGGTCGCGACCCACAGGTTGAGAACCACTGGTCTAGTCTAATGAAAAGAAGGACCGAAGTGACATGATAGCAGCTTTCCAATATTTGAGGGGCTGTCACAGAGAGGAGGGAGGTCCAAAGCACCTGAAGGACAGACAAGGAATAATGGATGGAAAGTGATCAAGGAGAGATTCAATCTAGAAATCAGGAGACATTTTCTGACAGTCAGAACAATCAACCAGTGGAACAGAAGTTGCCTTCAGAAGTTGTGGGAGCTTCATCAGTGGAGGCTTTCAAGAAGAGACTGGACTGCCATCTGTCAAAAATGGTCTAGGGTCTCCTGCTTGGGCAGGGGGTTGGACAAGATGACCTACAACAGGGATGGCGAACCTTTTAGAGACCGAGTGCCCAAGCTTCAACCCAAAACCCACTTATGTATTGTCGGGTGCCGAGTGGCCATGGCCGCCAGGTGGGCATGGCTACAGTGGTCATGGCAGATGGGTGGACGTGGCCAGGGTGGGCAGGGCCAACTCGATGTTGCTCCTGGGGAGGGACACCTGTGGGAGCCGGACAGGGTTGGGGGGAGATCCAGAGGTCTCTGGCGGGTGGGGCGGTGGGCAGGAGGCTGGTTCTGTGGGGTGAGGCGAGGCAGGGGCCAGGGGGCTGCTACCTGACACCATCGGCCCCCGCACACAAAGGCCAGCAAGCGTATGGGTGCTGGGATGCATCCGGCCACGTGGGACCTCGGCAAGTTAGCGGGTGACTGGTTGAAGAAGATGGTTGCCATCTCCGGGGCATGGCGCGTGTGCCCACAGAGAGGGCTCCAAGTGCCGCCTCTGGCACCTGTGCCATAGGTTTGCCACCACTGACCTACAAGATCCCTTCCAACTTTGTCACAATTATTATTCTATTTGTATTCTGTTTGTACTTAGCTAAACCGTGAACTTTGATTGGCTATTATGCAGAGGGAAGTGTTACCCCTCGCCTTATTTGTCCAAAGGTTCCTCAAGGCAAGCTTCTGCTATAAAGAGCCCCTATTTTGAAATATCTCTACTATTCCACCTTTTCATTGTTTTTTTGGGGGGGGGAGAAAAGAATTGGTGCAACCCTGGACATTAAAACATGGAAAAAAGATTTTAAAAATGTAATGGGTGGTCCAACACTGCAGGTTTTAAAGAAGAGATTGGACAACCATTTGTCTGAAATGGTAATAGGGTTTACTGCTTGAGCAGGGGGTTGGACTAGAAGACCTCCAAGGTCCCTTCCTATTTTGTTATTCTGTCTGTGCTGTTATATTCAAGCCAACATCGTCTCAGATTGTCACATACCTTTTGTCTCTGCAAAGAATTCCACAAGCTGTTGGGCTTCTTCTTGGATTTGAGATTCTATGCCTTTATTCCCCAGTCCCAACTTCCTCATGGTGACAATGCCAAACCGTCTTTGCTGCTCCCAGGTGTGACCATTTGAAAAGACAATGCCTGAAGTCACCAAGAGAGGCAGAGAAATTAGTGTTCACAAAAATATAATATTAATCAGATTGATAGTCTTTAAAATGTACCTTGGTACCAGTGGTGGGATTCAGCCAGTTCATACCAGTTTGGCAGAACCGGTAGCTAATTTTGTGTTGCCCAGGCCCAGAATGGACTTCCACACAGAGAATCGGTTGTTCACATATTTAAATCTCATCACTGCTTGGTACTCAACTGCTTTGAAACTCATTGAATTTGCTACTCAATGCATTTTGCATAGTTTGTCTGGTACTCAATGCACAAGCTAGTACTTATCAGTGTCAGCTGTCTTGTGACTCCCTACATTGCCCCTTATGGGAAAAATTTGTTTAGTCCTCATCATTTTTGGTATTCCTTATGGGAAAATTTTGTTTGGTATTCATTGTTCCTCTTGGACCAATTCACGATGAGTACCGACATACCACTATATATGCAATTCAGCCTCTTGCATTGAATGATCCAACCTCTTCCATCCACCTTTTTACATCGAATAGTAGTCGGTGTCTCAAACCCACAATCGTAATGGATAATTTAGACCAGGGGTCTTCAAACGTGGCCTTTTATGACTTGTGGACTTCAACTCCCAGAATTCCTCAGCCAGAATTCTGGGAGTTGAAGTCCACAAGTCATAAAAGGGCCAAGTTTGAAGACCCCTGATTTAGACTCTCAGTAATACAGAAAGCCTCAGCCGATACAGAGGAAATGATGCTACAGAAGTTCAGGCTTCCCTGTGGGAGAGTTCAGAACCCCCTTTTAACCTCATTGGTGGCTACTGAAATCCCACATCCTTCCTTTTTCTTGAAGCTTCCTCCTTACATCTCCTATAGTTTATGATGGGAACTTCTTAAATGGAAGCCCTAATTCAAATATCTGGTTGCCTATATTGCTGTTTTTCTTGCACCATTTTTGAATATGATCTTCTCTAGCTTGGTTTGGTCCATTAAAAGATGCCCATTTGATTATCCTTCTTCTCATGGGAACCATCAAATCACCTCCCTTCATCTTTCGGGAGTCTTGCAAAATCTGATAAACAGATGATATAACTGTCAACGCAGCTGACATCGGATGTTTTACATTGACAACAGATGGAAATGTAGTCATCTTTTACCCTTTTGCTTTTAGAGTTAGATGATGCTGGGAGGGGGAGGCTGTGAATGAGTCTAGCTAGACATAACAACACTAAACTTAGCCTGAGAATCAAGGTTATTGAGCCCAGAGCTGATAAAGAATTGGCGGGCTAGAGAATTGGAGAGGAAGCCCACATTTCAAGCTAATTGGGGAATGTGATTTATGACTGTTAGTTGGAGGAGAGAATTGTGCTTTGCTACTTTGTGCCAAGGGGAGTGGAATTCAGTTTTTTGGCTTCAATTATGTAATGCCGATATTATGCTTTTCAAATAAAAAACTCTTTAAGGTAAACAATGCCTCGAAGTTCTTTTGAAGAGTTTCATCTGTCAGAACCATGACACACAGTTGGTTTAAACTACAATAGAAACTACTACCAACATACTATTAGTTCCCAACTAAAAGGGATCAGCAGTTGCTTCTATTTTAATCAGCAGTTGTTTCTATCTTAATCAAAAATATGACAGATATGTGTCAACCTCACCAAATTGACCAGACCAGGAAAGCCACTCCAGATGATGTTTAGAATAGAATAGAGCTGGAAGGGACCTTGGAGGTCTTCTAGTCCAGCCCCCTGCTCAAGCAGGAGAACCTATACCATCTCAGACAAATGACTGTTCAGCCTCTTTTTTAAAATCTCCAGTAATGAAGTGCCCACATTTTCTGGGGACAAGCTATTCCTGATTGAGATTAGCTATACAAACAGAACATTTAAAGTCTGAATGTGCTGTTCTTCCTCCCCCATAAATGAATCAGGGAGGTGTCTGTCGAAGCTACTTCCAAATGTAATTGTGTTTCTCTTGAGTTAAAAGGAAGACTCAGTTCCTTTTGCCTAGGTCAGTGTTTCTCAACCTTGACAATTTTAAGGCATGTGGACTTCAACTCCCAGAATTCCACAGCCAGCATTGCTGGCTGTGGAATTCTGGGAGTTGAAGTCCACATGCCTTAAAATTGTCAAGGTTGAAAAACACTGGCCTAGGTTATGGTTCTTGCCTGTTGCTATCTAGGTCAGCTTCCTGACACTTTGCCATATGATTGATTAGCATGACCCATTTCCTAATTCTTGTTTAAGTAGCTATCACTCTAAGGAAGGATGAGAATTTTTTTTAAAGAGCAGTAGCAACCAATCCGAAGACTCACCCCAGAGGATATTCAAAATATGGAGGGTAATAAAACATTTTAACTACTGTTTTGGCCAATTGGAATATGGGAAAAGGATATATAATAGTATATGATTTATTATAGAGATAAAAATTATGATTAATAAAGAGAAGCATCAATTGACAGGTCACATCCTTTTCTTCCAGAGCTCAGTGGCTTGAATGGTGAATGGTTTTCCTGCTTGCAGGAACAAAGGATGTTTCACTAAAAGAAAAAGGTTAATAGGTTTGAGTTGACGCTATTTTGAGGTAATAAAATAACAATAATAATATGATAAGTAAGACAAAAAAAGTCTGGATAGTGGACTTGGCAGCTTGGAGACAGCAGAATATAGGTAGTCCTCAACATACAACCACAACAGATGGAAATGTAGCCATCTTTTTCCCTTTTGCTTTTAGAGTTAGATGATGCTGGGGGGGAGGCTGTGAATGAGAGTCTAGCTAGACATAACAATACTAAACTTAGTGTGAGACTCAAGGTTATTGAGCCCAGAGCTGATAAAGAATTGGCGGGTTGGAGAATTGGAGAGGAAGCCCACGTTTCAAGCTAATTGGGGAATGTGATTTATGATTGTTAGTTGGAGGAGGGAATTGTGCTTTGATACTATGTGTCCAGGGGAGCAGAATTCAGTTTTTGGCTTTGATTATGAAGTGCTGATATTATGTTTCATCTGTTGGAACCATGACAATAACACTCTTTGCTTCATAAGATAGTTGACAGATCCAGGCTAATGGGTAATTCTAGGGTTGTGGGCAGATAGAATGGTTAGACAAAACTTCTCTAATTGCCATATATTTTAATCCAGACTTCAAACTGCTAGCCACATTGATTTTCACTGGTCTAGCAAGACAGTACCCAATAACTTTTTCAGCTATGACTTACCCCTTTTTTGAGTGGAAGCTAAAATGAAAGGTGTGACCGGGCGATCAGCAAAAGCTTCTGAATGGTCAATTAGTCCTTCTTTCACAGCTTGATATCCAGAGAGGATTATGATATGATAAGGGCCGCCCCACAGAGAATAGATGTTCCCATATTGCTTTGCAAGCTGCAGTATGGAGCATGGAAGAAAAATGATAGTTACAATATATTATGTTGTCCTTGTTTCATACTTTGCCACTACAGCTTGGAAAACTAATTCACCACATTATGTAACTCACCAAGACAATTTTTGTATCTTTAACTTTAACCGGCGTATAGCATTCACAGTAAAACAGAAGTAGTACCGTGTTTCCCCAAAAGTAAGGCCTACACCAACAGTAAGCCCTAGCTTGATTTTGGAGGGTGGGCCTAATATAAGCCCTATCCCAAAAATAAGCCCTAGTTTTGTGGCAAGGCACACACCTAAAAACCAAGCTAGGGTGGGGGTGGGGGTGTGGAGCTGCCCCACCTGCCCCACACCCACTTACCTTGTAGCCAGGCCTCTCCTTGCCAGGCCACATCTTTTTCTGAGGCCTCTTCTGCAGCCAGGCCTGCATTTCTCAGTCACAGACCTTTCCGGAAGGCCTCTGCAACCAAGAACCAAGCTATGGGTTCAATCCATAGCTCAGTTCTGCAAGACCTCAACAGCTGAGCATCAAGCTATGGATTCAATCCATAGTTCAGTACTCGGCTTCTGGAAAGGCCTGACTGCAAAATGCAGGCCCGAATGCAGCTGCAGAACTTCGGCCCCAGAAGAAGTAGACCAGCTGGGTGGGGCTGTCGGTGCTGGAGGTGAGGTAAGGCCTACCCCGAAAATAAGACCTGGTGCCTCTTTTGGAAGGAAAAAAATAAGACCCAGTCTTATTTCCGGGTAGTACCAACAGCAGCAGCAGCAATAATAAACTATTAGTGAAATGGCCGCCCCGAAAAAGGTGAAATGTTGGGACCATGGTATTCTCCCAAATCAGCTTCTTTGATACCATGGACCATGGTATTCTCTTGAAGCAGCTTCAGGGGCTGGAAGTGGGAGCGTGGTTTTGCAGTGGTTCTCCTTTCTCTATGGCCGGTAGTATTGGTGGAAAGAAAGAGGTAGGGTTCTGGACCCCTCGACCTCACTCAAGCCTGGGTATCTCTCCTCTCCTCTTAAAATTTACATGAAACCTCTGGGTAAGACCATTTATCAGAATGGCGTACGGTGTCATCAGTATGCTGAAGATCCCAGTTGTTCAGAACTTCTCCACTCTGGCCAGGCAGATGCTATCATGGTGCATGTTTTACAAATATAGCTTGAAGGGTTTGCTTATCCTAATTCATTGTGTTGTACGAAGGTAATCTTTATTTCTTTGTTCCCCTCCTTTCTAGGGAGGAGCAGATGAATTACACAAAACCATTAATCACAGAGGATCATTTTGAGAGGCAGTAATCTGATAATCCTGGTTGTATGATAAAGAGAAGAAACATACAGAAGTTGGAGTTGATCTTAATTATTAAAAGGGACATGCAAATAACAAACCAGAAGAGTGAGTTGGATAACTTTCCTTTACAAAAGAGGTCTTTTAAAGCATGAAAGGATGTTTATGGGACCGGACAAAGGAAAAAGGAAAATAAATCAATGTTTAGTTGAACTTTCTACTGCATTCCTGACAAGAGCATTTTTGTGAGGGATGAGTTTTGACGTAAATCAATGGAAACAAAATGCTTGTGGATGTGATGGTGTTGGTGTGGGGGTGAGAGGAAAGGTGGGTTGCATTGTTTGGGAAACTAAAGCAGCCTGATGCAGCTTTGGCTGCAAGTAGAAGAGTTATTGCAGGATCCAATCTAGGGGAATGGAATGGAATAGAATAGAATAGAATCTGGAAGGGACCTTGGAGGTCTTCTAGTCCAGCCCCCTGCTCAAGCAGGAGAACCTATATCATTTCAGACAAATAACTGTCTAGCCTCTTTTTAAAAATCTCCAGTGATGGAACACCCACAATTTCTGGAGGCAAGCTGTTCCACTGGTTAATTGTCCTCACTGTCAGGAAGTTTCTCCTTAATTCCAGGTTGCTTCTCTCTTTGATCAGTTTCCAACCATTGTTTCTTGTTCTGCTCTCTGGTGCTTTGGAGAATAATGTGACCCTCCCCCTTCTTTGTGGGAGCCCCTCAAATATTGGAATACTACTATCATGTCTCCCCTATTTCTTCTTTTCTTTAGACTAGCCAAACCCAAATCCTGCAGCCGTTCTTCGTATATTTTAGTCTCCAGACCTTGGATCATCTTAGTTGCTTTCTCTGATTTTTTTTCCAAACTATCAACATCTTTTTTTGTGATATGGTGACCAAAATTGGCTTCAGTATTCAAGGTGTGGTCTTACTAGGGTTTTATAAAGCAGTACTAATACTTCACATGATCTTGATTCTATGCTTCCATTTGTGCAACCCAGGATTATATTAGCTTTGGGGGCTGTTGCTGCACACGGCTGGCTCATAGTCAGGTGATCGTCCACTAGGACTCCAAAGTCCCGCTCACAGACTGTTTTTAAACCAGGTCTCGCCTAATCTGTACTTGTACCTTTGGTTTTTCTTGCCTAAATGTAAAACTTTGCTTTTCTCCACATTGAAACTCATTTTGTTGGATAGGGCCCATTGTTCAAGTTTGTCAAGATCTTTTTGGATCCTGAGTTTGTCTTCTGGAGTGTTGGATACTCTTGCCAGTTTAGTGTCATCTGCAAATTTAATGAGTTCCCCTTCAATTCCCTGATCTAAGTCATTTATGAAGAGACTGAAAATTACTGGGCCTAAGACATAACCTTTTTTACTTCTCTGCATGTGAACGTAGTGCCATTGAGGACTACTTGTTTACAGTTTGCCAGTTTACAAATCCATCTGGTGGTGATGTTGTCTATTCCAAATTGTTCTAGCTTACCAAGGAATAGGTTGTGGTCTACTTTATCAAATGCTTCACTGAAATCTAAGTATACTACATCCACAACATTTCACTGGTCTACTAGTTTAGTCACTTTATCAAAGAATGAAATAACATTATTTATAATAATAATGATGATGACGATAAAGTTGGAAGGGACCTTGGAGATCATCTAGTCCAACCCTCTGCTCAGGCAGGAAACCCTATATTATTTCGGACAAATGGCTGTCCAGTCTCTTCTTAAAAACCTCCAGTGTTGGAGCATTCACTGCTTCTGGAGGCAGGTTGTTCCACTGGTTAATTGTTCTAACTGTCAGGAAGTTTCTCCTTAGTTCTAGGTTGCTTCTCTCCTTGCTCAGTTTCCACCCGTTGCTTCTTGTCCTGCCTTCAGGGGCCTTGGAAAATAGCTTGACACCCTCTTCTTTGTGGCAGCCCCTGAGATATTGGAAGACTGCTCATCCCTCCCCCCTCGTCCTTCTCTTCATTAAACTAGACATACCCAATTCCAGCAACCGTTCCTCATATGTTTTAGCCTCCAGTCCCCTAATCCTCTTTGTTGCTCTTCTCTGTACTCTTTCTAGAGTCTCAACTTCTTTTTTACATCGTGGTGACCAAAACTGGATGCAGTATTCCAAGTGTGAAAGAGTTATTGTTCTCCAGAACTAGAACTCATGAAGAGATGTAGTGGAGGGACAGCAGTTGCATTAGAATCAGAGAAGAGTGGTATAGTAAACAATGAGTACTGGCCTTTGAGTACTTGTAGGTGTGTTGCCTCTCTGCAGTTTTGGAGCCCACTGACCTGGGTATACGGAAATAAACCCACAGCAACAACAACAAAAACCTAGTGAGCAATAAACTATGAAAACAGTAATAATTGCCAGGTTCACATAAATACCCTTAATATAGTTTATTAAAGCACAATAGATGCATTCACACAACTTAAGGCACCAGCTTACTTTTTACTGTGTTTTGTCATGTTAAAGTCTGCTCTACCACATTGTTTAAATGCACAATTGTTAAGCAGGCTCTGGGCATTGTGTGAACACAGCTCCTGGGTAATACATTAAAAGTGAGCCCTTGAATTGGTCCTGCTTCGGAAGAGACAAAATTATGCTTTCCAAGTGATTCCCTAAGTGTTAAGTAGCGTTCAACTGGATCCACCTGGGATTTTTTTTATTTTTACTATTGTTGAGAAGCCATGTAGTGTAATGGTTAAGATACTTAATTAGCAGCAGAAAGACCTACATGACGCACAGCTTTGGACGTTCAACAAGTGACTTGTCCCAATCACTCTTTCTCTACCCCAACAACTTTTGGGGGGGTCAAAACAAAAGACTCAAGCTGTGTTCAGACATCCCCTGGCTTCTCATTGGATAAAATGACACAAAAAGGTGTACCTTTGTGAACGTCGTCTCTGAAATGCCAGTCCCCAGCAGCCGCCACATACTTCCGACCACAGGAAGTGGGAAAGGCCCCGGCGGGTAGCGTTTGCGTGACCAGATCTGTTTCAGATAGGAAAGAATCTGGCGTGGAATCCAAAGGATCAGAAGGAACAGTAGCTTCAACATCCTCCTGCCTTCTCACTCTCCAGCCTGATCATCTGTCGTGGGACTTGTGCTTTGAGGACTCTGCTTCCTTCAGAGATGTTTGCTGTTTTGAAGTCTTTGCTACCACACCCTTTTATATTCTGTCCTACTTATGCATCTCTTGAAATCAGGACCAGCCTGTTTTTGAAAGCACTGATCCATGGATGTCCAAGCTATTATTTTAAATAACTTCTGCAGGTCTTTATTCCCTTCCCTATTATTAAATTTTAGTACATTGGCCTTTACATTTAAAGACTCCTAATAACTTTGCCATTCTCAACTTTGAGATTAAGATGCGTCAATGGGTTAGCAGTAGTGAATAGCTTTGAGATAGTCTAATTCCAAAATGTAACATGTTCTAACCCAGTGGTTCTCAGCCTTCCTAATGCCGCGACCCTTTAATACAGTTCCTCGTGTTGTGGTGATCCCCAACCATAAAATTATTTTCGTTGCTACTTCATAACTGTAATTTTGCTACTGTTATGAGTCATAATGTAAATATCTGATATGCAGGATGTATTTTCACCGTTACAAATTATACTGTTATAATTTCAGTATAATAGTTATACTGAAGGTCTGTGTTTACAGTAGCTGAAGCAGATTGGATTAAAACAGAATGGCTGCATTTGTGTAACTTATGCAGCTTGATTGTTGTTCGTCCATCGATTTCGATGAAGACCTTGACATCTTGTGGGTTATGGGCCATCAACGATGTGTCCATAGGTGGCTAATAAGACCGATGTTAGCACGGAATGTTCTGCCACATACTGAACAAAGAAATGTAGACACTGTTACTTCAGCATTTGCAGTTCTGGCTTTGCGGAGTGCTCGCTTTTCTTGTGCCGAGATAGTCCTTCTGTGTTCATATGTTTGGCAACCATGGTACACCAAGGTGCGCTATGTCGGTTGATCATGCGCCAGAAGTTCCCAAGAGATGGTGTTAATATCCTTGATTACTTTAAACTTGATGTCAATGTTGCTTTTTGTGTGTGCAGTCTTAGTGAATTATGGAAATATAGCCGCTTTATTCTTCTAGTATTATGTGATTCAGAAAATGTATCACTTTAGCTGCTCCAGCTAGTCCAGCGGTAGGCAACCTTGGCTCTTTTATGACTCGTGGACTTCCATTCCCAGAATTCCTGAGCCAGCCATGCTGAGGGGAAAGGGAGAGGTTTCCAAGCTGAGCCATGGTGGCTCAGGAATTCTGGAAGTCCATGAGTCATCAAAGAGCCAAGGTTGCCTACCCCTTAGCTAGTCAGTGGTTCCTCTTCTTTTCTCTCCCCAGATCCCCACCCCAGCTCAGTCAGTAGCTCAGTTCTGGAGCTGTGCCTACCAGAATCTTAGGAGAGATTTTTAGAAGGAGGTCTTGTCCACTGAGGCAGAGGCAGCAGAAGGGAAATCCATTCCTTCCTCCCACCCCACTGCTGGTTCCACTGAGCAATAATCAACTGCTTTTGGTGCAGCAGCCAGGGCAGGAAGAATGGGGGGCATTTCTGCAGCAACTGCAAGAAAAGGCTCCTTGGAGCTTCTTGATTCTACACTAGGAGCAGATTCATTTTG